CGGAAGCGCAGGCTCTCGGCTTCACCAGCAGCCTGGCGCGGAGGAGCCAACAGCTCTGGGCATCGTCCCCTGCCCTCCCACAGCAGCCGCAGCCTGCGAGGCTGGGACGGGTCCAGCCCGTTCTTCTTCACTGAAGAGTTTGGAGATGGAGCTCGTCAGCAGTCGCAGCGCCTGGCTCGCTTCTCGGCGAGCAGCTGATGAATGCTGGCCGCAGCCCTGACCATCCTGCGTTTTTCACCTACAGCAGGCCAGGAAGGTTTGCTGGTGAAACATTTTTCCAGCCTACTGAGAAAAACAAAAAACAGACAAACTTTTGGACCCAGGTCATTTATCCTGGCTTGACAAACGTCCTCTAGCACAGGGGAGAAGCTACAGACCAGACCACAGCCGTGAAGTGAGGTCTGTTGGCAATGACACTGCTGCTCTGGAGGGTCAGGTCCCCAGGCAGACACAGACGTCATCCCCGGGTGCTGTACAGCCAGAGGTGAAATCAGTTTGGAAACTTGTAGGTAAAATTTGCATACCTGTGCCTAAATCCTTGGCACAGAGAGAAAGAGATAGTCTTTAACCTCTGGCCCTGGGTGGGCTGCTGAAAGGTCTGGTTCAAGTCCCTGGACCTGCTACAGGAGATTGTCTATGACCTTGGGAGAGTCCAAACCTGTCTCCAAAGTCCACGGGTCAAAGGGGTGATGGCGCTGGTCCTGTCCTGCCTGCTCAGGGTACCAGCCCTTGGAGGCAGGGAAGAATCACGCAGGGGCTGGCACTCACCGCGCAGCCCCAAACCCGCCTGCGGTTTCCCGCTCCTCATGCTGTACAGCAAGGAATAATAATTAATCCTTAAAATGGCAAACACTGCACATGAACCAATAGTTGAGCATTGCAGACTATTACACGCCGTTGCTTGGAGTCTCAGCGTCTGTATGAGAAATGCATGATGCTTATTTAAAGAAATGTTCTTCTCTGAAGTTATTCAAGCTCAAGGATCTCACAGGCAATTTTTAGCACCTACCAAGCCACATTTAGAGACATTTTAGAGCCCGGTAGAATCGTGTTGACATCAGAAGGACTGCATGAGGTTAGAAATCAGCGTAGAGGCTGGAGCGTTAGTCACAGCCGGGCACATTCAGCTGCCTGCAGAGCCAGCAGGGAGCCCAGGCGTCACTTCGGGTAAAGCCTGCTCCCCGCCGCGGATGCGCCTTGCGCCGGGCTGCCGTACCCTGGGTGAATACCCCCTAATTATGTGCCCGATTACAATGCCGAGCAAATCAGCCGTGAGCTGATACAATGCGACGGGGGTAAGCGAGACGACAATATTTCCACTCAGTTCAATCTGCCTGTGCGTAATGGAATCAGCCCACGCGACCGCGCTCCGAGCGGCGCGCATGCAGGACGCCAAAATTAGACTCCCACCCACGGTCTGCTCCGCTCCGCTCCGGAGGCACCTCCGTCGGGGCAGAGCCAAGGCGGTGCCCCCCGATCGCGAATCAGATGCCGTGCGGCCCTTCCTCGCTGTGGCTCCCAGCGATGCTTCCACGCGCACGGCGGTCTTCGGCCTCACGCTCCTCCGGC